ACGTCACGATGCGTTTTCTGACATGAGGTGACGAAGGTGAATGGACATCACTCGCCCCAAAGATAGGTCCGATAAAACGAATGATGACGTCGTCTCTCATATTCACATATTCATTCGTTAACAGATTCCGGAAACTCTTACATTCCTTCGCCGCTATCTGAGAGATTGAATAACGTATATTGTGTGCTTAACTGCGGTCGCATATGCAAATTTGCACACACAGATAAGAGGGGATAATTACGAGGAAATTATGAACGAGGTCATTTTGAAGCAAGTTACTGTGCAGTTTTCAACTCACACATTTCGAATAAAACGTGATTCGATCGGCGAAATATTATTCTTAACTTATTTTCAAGATAAAAAACTCATTATATTCATTAATCCTCCATCTGCAATCTGATTTTTTGCAACTTTCATTCTCAAATTTCTCCAAAAGGAAAGTGGATCCGGTTACTACTCCCAAAATATCTTGTTAAAAAATTATTGGTAACGTAATAGAGATGTTGAAAAGTAATCCTGAAATTTTCCACATTTTTTGAAAACCTAAAATAGTAAAGAAAACTTTAGTTGGACAGAGGAAGTAAAAATATAACTGCAGAGTTAATGACACAAAGATGAATAATTATTTTTAAATATTGGGAACATTAATCGATTTTCCTTAAAAAAAGGAGTTAATGTGTAAAACTATCTTTCACCAGTCATCGAGATCAGTAATTTACGGTGAATCTCGTCAATCCCTAAACGGGGCAGAATCTCGACCGCATGTTACCTCCCCGGTCCGTTGAGCCTTCCTTCTTGACCATTTTAGAGGAAAAGGATGCGTGAGGGGTCTCGAAGACGAGTGGCATCAACATTTTCTTGCACACCCATCGAACGAGTTTAAGACACAGGCTAGTGGCTGATGCGTTCGCAAGCGAAAGAAAAAATCTCGTAACGGGATAAACGGGCGATTGAGCATCATCGTAGTACCGTCACATTCCAATACGTAACGGCGAAAAGAGCGTACATTGCGTACTGGACACAACCTAAGAGAACAAGTACTGTGAATAGGCAACGACGGTTGGTTATATAAAATTTCTTGGAAACGCGCTCGAGAAGCGTGCATAGAGTTTTTGAGAAGCTCGAGCGGAGACGAGAGCAGCTCCTACTAGTACTCTGTGTGTGGAATTATCGTGTTCGCGGAAGAAATTTCTTTGATCGCGTTTGCGAGAACTGTAATATTTCCCTCTGTGTAGAGGATCCGTTCTCGTGTGCTGTTTGCAAGTTAGATCGAGTTCAGATTACGAGACTGTTTCATACGATACAAGTTTTTTGATGCATCGATCACATGTAACGTTAATTCTTACGCGGACAAATTCTTTCTAAGAATACAGAACAGTAGATCCACAGGTTGAGAATCCGCATGGAGCACTGAGTGGAGTCCCCTGTTTGGATTCCAATTATTCAGCGGCGTGTCCCGAAACTCTCAATTCTTTGTGAATCCTGACCCCAGACCTTTCTCCTTCCTTCTCTTCTGTCCCATCTGTCCGCGCTCTCTTCACTAGTCTCTGCATAGATAATGAACCACAAAAAAGGAAAGCAACTACACGGTTTGCTGTCGTCTCAAGCGAACCGACGAATCAAAAAACTGTACCTTCTACCTCCATCGACATTCACCAACGCCATTTCCTGTTCGCGGAGAGTACCTGCCCATAATCATTATTATTCGCAGCCAAATAGCCGGTGGCTTTCTTTCTCTCTCGCGCTATTGATTAATATTATCTCTCAGAAATATCTAAGTATTCAATATCGGGGATATTCTAATACAAGTATCATATTTATAAAATCATTTCGTGATAATATAAATTTTTTTAGTATTCATAATATAAAAATAAATGAATATTATAAGTAAAGTTTGTAGGTTACAGATTATCTAATATTCTATTAAAAAAAAATTTGAATAACATTGAAATTTACATATTATTTTTTAAAAAATAATATATATATTTCTGTTTGTTATTTATACAAGGTATTAGATAGAATAATTCAGACATTGTCATACATGAAATACATTTAGATGAAATTTAAAAAACTTAATTTTGAAAAGGAACGACAAAGGGTAAAACGACGAGGATGATAGCAATATACACCAAATGCAAAGTACCGGTGAGATCGCAATTCGTAAAGCTGAGCTGCTGCTCCGTCACCTTCGCAGGTAGTTGGTAGACGAAAGCGTCGAAAGGAAAGGACTTGGATACCGCCGAGAGGAAAAGAGATAAGAGAATAGAAAGAAGGAAGGAGAGAGAAAGGCATACTCCGTCAGATAGGAAGAACAGAGAAAAGAGACGTGGAAGTGGCAGGGCGAAGAAGAGGAGAGTAAAGGCCCCGGGCGAGGTCACCCACCGCCCCCGCCCCCCTCACTCCCCCATACACCCTGATTATCCGCCGCCGGGGGCGGGACGCTCTGTAATGAGCATCGAAGAGGTGCTCAACTTCTGACTGTTTCGTAAATTTCCCTGGCAAAGCAACTTAAAAATCTTGCAACGATATTTTTCTCTTCTATACTATTTATCTAATTTTCATTTAAAATTTTTTCTCTCAATAATATTAAAGATCTATCGCGCATATATATATATATATCTATACATATTCGAACATAACAGAATTAAAATCGACATAAATAAATTGTACATTTATAAAAAATAAATAAGGACAATCGTATTTTAATTATAAAAATGTTAATTATAAAAATATTTTAGTTTTGTTCCATAAATAAATTGCAAGATAAATGATAGAATTTATGAATTTATAAGTAATTCATATAGACTTTAAAATATTAATTTTAGATAACTAACTTCCTTCGACGTAATACAATCTTTTAATGAAAGGTGATTATTGTACATGTGTTGTAAATATGTAAATATATAGCTTGATTTAAACGAGGACAGGTTGGTTCGTGACATAGAACACTCACAGGCGAAGATTAGGATAAAGCAGGAAGCAGTGAAAGGTGACGGGATAGTAAACGTTTGAATGGCGGAGCACGGCGTCTGCGAAGACACCCGGATGATCGAGCGATGTTATTTTAAGTTTTCCGTGGGGGCCCTCGGCTTCTCTCCCATCTTGCCCTAATCGGCCTGTCAGCCACCCCCGTAGCGTAGGGTCGGCGGACTACCCCCGTTTAATACATACGCGCGCGTAACACACGCGCGCAATTTCACCGATCGGGAGAGCAACCGCGCCTGACACGACCCCCCACGGACAAGATTCGCCCTTTTTTTTTCTCTCCTACATCGAGATTCGCGCCCGAGGATTCATGCCCCTCGAGGGGTCAGATTCAAAACGCTTTACACTCTCATAACCGAAACCTGTTGATTCGACAACCCCCGAAAATCTCAAATACCTCGACTACCCGCCGAAACAAGAATTCTTCAACATTCATTCAAGTAGAAGTACTTTACTCTGTGAATAATTCTTGATTTCATACAAAGATAAGATTTCTTATTTTAAAAAGAAGTTAAAAAAAAAAGTTGTAATAAATAGAAGAGAAGAAATGATTTTGTTATCAAGGAATATTTAGCCTACTAAGATATGAACGACCTAATAGTCCTCAGGGCATTCCGCTACCATTAGCAACGCAACACCTAGTCAACTACCGCGACTCGGTGTTCTCAAACGTACGATAGACCGTGAAGATGGAGTTGCTTCAGGAAAGTTAGAATGCTCTCGCAAGGCTACGCGGTTCGTTTGATGGCCTCCTGGACCATCCGTGTTTCCACTGGATGACCGTTTATACCATCAGGTTTGGTGGCACATATTATATACCGGAGGAAGAAAACAGAAGAAGAGAAGGTTAAGAGACGAAGACGGACGAAGCCAAAGGCAGAGACAGAGTGGGAAAGAGAGCAAGAGAAGGCGAAAGAGAAAGAGAGAAGGATAGACCGTTGCTTTCTTGGGCTCCGGCGTGCTTATTGCGTGATATTAGCCACGGTGGCTGCCGCCACTGCTGGGATAATCATAATCTCGAAAGGGGGACAAAACACAGGCCCCGAATCGCATAACGCTGAATTTTACGACTTCTGGCATAGAGGAGACGCGACCGGATGCAACGCGGCTTTTTATGCTCTCCTAACAGCCCCTGACTTGATATCACGCCCAGAGATGAACGGCTTTTCGAAACGTCTTTCCGACCATCGTTGGATTCGCTTGTCGGATTCGCCGTCATTGAACTCGAATACGAAAGTGTCGACGCAGGAAGGTACTAAAAGAGAGAAGAACGTCAGTCTTGTAGAGTCGAGAATTAAGTTCGCGAAGAGATACAAAAAATATATTAAAAATTGGCTTTTTAATCTGCTAACAAATAACGTTACAAACCGTGTTCCGATATACACTACTATTACTGAAAATCTATAGTTCGCGTTACATATACTATAGATTTTCACTACTAGTGTACGTATATCAGAACATGACTATAAAAACTGATTATTTTAAAAAACTTAATACATTATATATGTAAATGTGTGAAAAATTGGTCAAGCAAATTCTTACAATTTCTATGAAAATCTAAGTATATATCTTGTTATAATCGAAAGTCGAGTCGCTTTTTGCTTTAGTTTGGTTTGATATAAAACTAGCCAATACTTTACGCTTGAAGTAATTATTCCGTGAATTCGATCTAATTTACGCGTTTGCATAGGCACACGATCGGGCCAGTATGCGCTGTAAAAAGAGAGAGAGAGAGAGAGAGAGAGAGAGAGAGAGAGAGAGAGAGAGAGAGAGAACAGGCACCCAACGGCGTTACATCGCGTTTCGCAATGCTGTATGAAATCAACGGCGAATGAGGCACTGAATGGAAGCGAATTGCGCGAGTCGAGTCAACGCGTTTCGAAGCGCACAGACTGCGTAATAGGGAGGATATTTTTTTCACGGAAGATACTGAATAGAAGGTTCCGCGACGATTTTTACCGTGGCGTAAGTACGGTCTTGTAATCTCTGGGAAATTGAGATCGTGAGTCACTCACCGTAAGGTCGCTCCGCAACGGGTTCGCACGAATCTGCAACAGAAAGCATTCGCATTCGATTAGCCATAGCTCTGCAACCGTAAGTGGGGCGATTAATTATTCGTATTTGGTATTAGCCGGCCTTTTGGGTCTCTCAGGCACCCGCTGCGATCAAGATAGAACATCGCATAATTTGTATTTCCATAGAGAGTGTATCGCGATTATTAATTACGTTTGATAAATGATATAATGTAAGACAGGATAAAATCAAACTGATATAAAAAAAAAACTTGTAAAAATAACATTCTGAAATTACTTAGTGTCTGAGAAAAAAAAACTATTCATAGTAGCTTTGTTCAATCTTACGATAATAATATTCATGATAGATGTAAACCCGATGATCTATTATACGATGCGTTGATACACGCGGAACTATCATCGTGGTTTCCAATTGTCATTTCGAATAATTATCTATTACTGTCGGCAGAGTAATAACTCTATCTCTATCTCATTTCACAAGGATTGTCCAGTCAACAAGGCTAAATACAAGTACATATCGGGAGCCTCGAGAGTCGAGAGTGAATTCACATCGAAGGAAACAATGTGTATTAAATTACACGCGTCACGTCGCATAGAGGAAGCCTCCGCGGATAATTTTGCAGTTGATTTTTAATTCTCATCCGCTCAATGACATAGGTTAGCGCTACGCACATCGGCACACTCGTTCATCCATGACGATTGTGTGTGCAATCGTGATTCATACCCGATATAATCGACGCAATCTCGACGCAATCGCAACGGCGGATCTATTCAAGCGAACCGGCTATCTTTTTTTCCTTCTCGCTCATAATTTGCATACGTTCAGAGAGAACATTCCCGCGATAATTTATCCAATCCGCGAGTACCACCGTGAACTGATCGTCGTAAGTGATTTCTAACCGGCCACCGAGATCGTCGTCGCTTATAATTCGCACTGTAATGGGGAACTTACGTAACGTTGGTAATCCTCACGCGCATTGCTAATGCGCCAAGCTAGCTAATAGCGTCGTCGCGTACATCTTGAGTCCGTGATCGGATCGGGGCCTGGAGGCACGCGTCGCGCGTACAGCCTACAGTGCGTAAAAGCGAGGAAGTTTTAAATGGTACCTCGGCGGCCGGGCACCTGCTAAAGCCGAGGGATCGGCTCGGCGGGAGCCGGTAAATGTCTCACTCAAGGCACTCGTACGCGGCTCTAATGGAAGCCGCTAGGTAGGTCATCGGCTGTCATAAACGCACGCTCGTCCAAGTTTCCTCGACGGCGTGGAGCGTGTTAATAGCCTCATTAGATATCGCGTCGCAGTGGCGTACGTACAGTGATCGGGATCATTGAAATCTCCCACTCTATGGAATTTGGTTTTCATAATTATTTTGTAAACTCAATGGGAATCTAAATAACTCCTTTCTTAATTCCATATAAACAAGTTTTTCAGCGTCTAGTTATCATTATGAGTTATCATTATGAGTAAATGATAGACTTCATCTAACTAGATAACTAGACAGACAAATTTGTTTATACAGTGGAATTATAGGAAAGGAGTTTACAAAAGAATTACGAAAACTGAGTTCTAACTTAGCAGGTGTGCCAATTCTATGTCATTCTATTGTCATTATATTTTAAATATATTTGATTATAAAATCATAAACGTGTAACCATTAATTTTCGGCCGAAGTAAAGGATAAAGTAAATGAATGACGCGTGAAATGAGACGACGTATTTGCGTAATTATGTCATAACCGTTCTTCTAATGTCGTTCTTCATATAGGATACACCAACATTATCTTTTTTCTTCTCAATTATGACATCGACTTCTACAGTCATTAGCCTCAACATTAGCGCCAATGGGACACGGTCTTCCCAGGCTGTCAACCATTCAAACATTGACCATATCAAATGTTGCTTAAGTTTATTAATTAACCTCTCCACTCTACAAGCAAATTTAGTAACGTGTGACCGAACTATCATTATTTTACGGAAATGCGATTTCTCTATATGTATAATTTTCGCATCTTATAACATGGAAATTGTTATATTGTTAAATCCATATTACATAAAAGAAGATAGTATATATTTGAAACATTTTTCGATCATAATTTAATTATTTCAGTTTATGATTGCGTTTTCAAGTCCGACAATAAGCAGTGCGCAGTTTACATAACTGAGGCGTGGTTTTCCATTTTCTGGTTAACTTGTGGTTTAATTTTAATCTCACTTAACTTGATAATAATTTAAAATTTGTATTTCTCTAGCTATGATTAATCACAAAACTACTGATTTTGTGGTAACTGTAAGTTTGTAGTGAGTGTAACTACAATTTTTTAATTATTAGCTTAAATTTAATCACAAGTTAATCAAAAAATAAAAAACTAGAAAAGCCTAAAACCTTAAAAAATGTATTTATAATTTATATATAAAAATATTATCGAACACTAAGAGTCTCGACCACATTGATCTTTTCTTTACTTATTTGATTGAAACATTTTTCTCGTAACTTTAATTACAAGCAAAATTGCAGTGGATTAAGTCAGCAGTGGAATTAAGATAACTTGCGATCTAGTAGATGGAAAACTTGAAAATAATTTACTGTTATTATCTTTATATACTAATACGTTCTTGATGGATATGACAGTATTGCATTTACACGCACACGCTTATTTGCTAAAATAAGATGCACTCGATTTGCCTCATCTGCATCGACCATGCGCGTTTCTCAACCAGATAAGCAGCCAACAAAAATTTCAACCAATAAAACATTTCTCGTGACGGTCTTCCAAGAATCTCATCGTCAATATTAGAGTCAGCTAAGCAATGCCACGGCATTGAACGTGTTAAGTTTCATTAGTTATCATATATACGCACGCTTGCATTCAACAATGTGCACATCTCCGACGACACCCGGTCGCGATCGAATGCGCAGATTACATTCAATGGGACGAAACGTCCTGCATCTGAAATTCCGTAGAACCTGTCAATACCCTGCATCATTGACAGTCGCGAATGAGAAAAGAAAAAAAAAATACTCCGCACCCGTCCATTTATCCGTCGTTAATCGGCGATCACGACGTCGTATTCTAATATTTTCCATGAAGCGTCGCGCGCCATCACGAATTCTGATTGAGTTGTGACCGGGGCCGGGGCCGTGGCCGGGTGCGTGTATCGGGCCCCAAAGGTGCCAACGGGGTCGGGAGCGATGGTCGATAAATATTAAACGACTTTCCACCTGTCGCGTCGTCATCGTTGCGGCGGAGGGACAGGGGAAGCACTTCCGAGAGGGAGATGACTGAATGTTAATTAGCGAGGCGTGATAAGTGTTAAGTAATCCATCTATCTACCTATACGTCGGGAGGGAGGAGCTTGCCTAATGTTCAGTAATTAACGCGACACTTGGAGCCCGGCCACGCATCATCGGCGAAACATGGCTCGTTCTTGCGAACGGTCGCGCGCAATTAACCGGCGATTTAACAGCTAATCTCGAGCAGGTGGGAGACGAATCGGATGTTAAAATGAACTCATTGCGCTTTATGAAAATATGATTGAATTAATCTGAAATACGTATATAACAATCAGACTATTATTTGGATATATAAAGGATTCATAATTTTTCAAGGATTCAAAATATTTTGATTACTGTAACCACACATATTAGTCGCGTGCATTCTAATGAAAATAATAACTTTCGGTTCAAATATACACAAAAATATACTAAAGTCTAATCGATATCACATCTAAATGTTTTGGTTACATATTAAAATATTTGATTTTAATAACAAGGAAATTCAAAGAGAGAGTTTACTTCTACCAAAATTTACTTAATTAAACATACTAGTTAATTCGAATATGATTGTTTTCTTTTATCGCGTATACTTTGTAGGACATTATTTGTAATATTTTATACATAAAATCACAATATTATACAATTATCATATGCGATTTGACAATTAAATTATACATTATTCTTTGGCATATATGTAATAATTTTTATAAATCAACAAGAAAATAGCAATAAGAGAAAAGTTAATTACACAACAAAAAACATACGCGACTTTGCTTACTGATGCATTCAGTCAACAACTGAACGAAATCATTTTTTCCCATTGATCCGAAATTATAAATTCAAAGATAAAGTCACTGCCGAGAGTATTTCCAGCAGTATTTTCAGTAACACTAAACTTAACTGATTGAGTTTTCATCAATAGCATATATGTTATCAATCTAAACATTTATTGATAGTAACTTCTGTACATTATCGACAATAGTCTTCATCAATATTTTCATTTAAACACATCCAGAAAAAAAGTTGCTTCGATTTAAAGAAATTTTCTTTGCTATACGGTTAAAGAAAAAATTTAAAATAAAATTTCTTTAAATCAAATAAATTTTATTTGATTTTAAAAAATAATGTTTAAATCAGAGAAATGTTTTCACAAATCAAAGAAATTTTTTCTTTAATCGTAGCAAAGAAAATTTCTTTAAATCGAAGCAATCTTTTCTTTAGGTGCATATATAACTAATATATTTTCATATACTCGAGAATATTAATATTGTTTAATATGCGTTAATATATTTCAATTTACTATTCTTTCTTGGTCTTTTATAACATAAACCTGGATTATATTAATTATGTATAAAGATACATTTATTAAATATGTATATGTA